ACACCTTATCTCTCGCTGTTTCACTGTTCTTAACTACATTTTCTTTGTTCTCTTTGTGTGTTGAATTTGTCGTGATGTCAGCGTTTCCTCCGGTGTTGTTACATTATTCAGTCCGTCTCTCCATGTGGCGGGAGGAAGGTAGACACAAGGTAAAAACGTGAATCGTCTGTTCAGGGTTTGAGGGAGAGGTTATACTCCTGGATTTGCTGCCTTTGTTTACATTTGTTATGAACATCACAGCCTCTACTGTCTATTCTGGCAGCCAGAAAATAAGTTAGTCTCCGTGCTACTTGTTTGTTTTTACTTGTAGGTGACATAATCTCTATAAACAGATTCTGCATGTAAATCTGAAGAATCTGTAGGCGAGGGGAAAGAATTTGGGGACTGGTTACCTTCAGGTTTTTTCCATTTCTAGTTTGACCGATTACATTTGAGCAGGGTTTGGTTGCCTGCAGATAAACATTCAGTATCTGCATTTATATGGAGACAGAAGTTGATAGAGATAGAGATAGAGAGACAGATTAGCCAAAATATTGTCTGGAACAAAAACTAAAGAAGTATAACTGTTTGTTCTGTGTTTGAGGTTTTTGGGAAAGTACTGGAACCAGATTAGGATTGGCGATGGCGGCGGAGCAGAAGAGGGTCTGAAACTGGTTCAAGGCAGGCGACAAATGATGACTGAGCTGGACGAGGCAGCAAACACACACAGACAGAAACAAACTGAGGAGGAAGGATGCAGGAAATAAAAAAAGAAGCACAAAAAATAATGTGTAAATGCTGCATTGTTAAGGGGAGAATACAGACTCGGAAAGTTTTAGGTTATTTTCTGTAAAACTTACAAATGATGTGAGGGCGGACTGGCAGAGGTGCTGGGCTGCAGACAGGGATTTGACTGGCGAAGCCGTGCAGGCAGATGGCGGATAAAAAAAAAAAAAAAAAAAATGAAATTCCAGACCAGGCAGATAGACAAGGACTTAGCAGAATGTGGCAGGTTACAAGGAAGGCTGGGTAATTAACCTGAGGCGCAGGCAGAAGGAGCAAACAGACAAACAGGTAACTACAAGCAGAGTGTGGACGTCACGTCTGTACCACTGAGGTGACTGACGACCTCTAACAAAGACTGGAGGGAAAAATCCAGAAGCCACTGAAAGACGTACAGGACGTAAACAGTACAGTCAAAGAGGTCCCCTCGTGAAAACCACATTTAGATACAGATCACAAACGTAATCATCAGACTGATGCAAAGAAATAAAGATCCACAAATAATTATCTGAGGAATCAATTGAACCACACACCACCACTAAATCCTGCTAACTAACAAACCAACCAACAAACATAACTTAAGAGAGAGAAAACAACAGGGGGGTGTCCATGTACATCCAGGCATGTTTTTGAAATTCACATGTGTATCTGACAGCTTCTGTCAGCATTTGAGAGTGTGTGCGCAGCTGGAGCTGAAGTCTGTCATGTGTGTTTTTATGTGTGTGTCAGTATGAACATCTCAACCGCAGCAGGTTTCCATTAGAACGCTCCAGATTTAGAATATTATCTGTCATCTGGACTGAAGCTGCTTTGACCTTGTGGATTTCACTAAGAACATATGTTGTGGTGCTCCTCTTCACTGCTCTTCCTCTCTCCTCTTCCTCCTCTCATCCTACATGTATTTCTTCTCTCAGCTTGAAAACATGATGCTACGGGAGCCAGATATTCTCACCCCCTTGCTAACCATGAATTCATTTTACTCTCCCATCCACGGCGGAGGTGTCATGATGTTCGGTCTGAAATAACCCGAGCTTTCAAAAGACTGTCACATCTAATCAAGAACAGCAGCAGCTCCACAGCCGATGTCACACGCCCCGACTCTGTGGGCGCTTTCACATCCGTGCTTTTCCTGGCTTAGTCATCACCGAAGAGGGGAAATGTAGTTGTAGTGTGTTTCAAGGTGGACTCGGTTGTTTTTTCGGCACCAGAGTCTGAATGACGTCACATTACATCACATGTGTACAGATGTATCGGACCAATTGGGTGAGTTTGTTATATTATTGTTGGGCCACTGCAGTAACAAGACACCGGAGAGAACACAGGAACCTTTCCTTAGATCCAACTACTGAGGAAGTTGTCAATACCACTTTGGAGATAAAAGAGGAGAAGAAAGAAGTATGAAGAGGTGAATTTAAGTTTTTACTGAACATACAAACTGGCAAAAGCTTTTAACGATGCAACGGTGAATAACGTTATTCCTTCACACAAACAAGTAAAAACGTCAGAGGATATCTCAATAGACCAGATGAATGATTGCAGCATGAATAACCTGCTTCTTATCTTTTAACTATATTTATGTCTGTTTTATTATTGCACGTACACGTTTCTTTATGTTGCTATTTGCTTCCACACCAAAGGCAGGACCCCCGCTGTTCAGCTGCATCAAAGTTTCTGCAGAATGACTTCAGGCTGTCGAAATGCAAATGCGATTTCTTGTGTGTGTGTGTGTGTGTGTGTGTGTGTGTGTGTGTGTATGTGTGTGTAGATCAATGAACATGCGAGTGCTTGCATGCAACTATTTGTAGCCCTTATCTTACACTTGATATCTCATCAAAATAGATGAAAACTTGAACTCTACTTTTCCTCAAGTGCAAAACAGCTGATTTAAGACGTTTCTAAGCACAAATGAAGCAAATGTGACGTAATCAGCTGGATTGAGGAGTAAAGGATAATTTGTGATAATCTGTGAGATGATATCAGAGGGGAACAGGCGTGGCCCCGGGGTGCAGTGACTATCGGGGCTGTTACAGATTGCGAGGGAGCAATTTTTATCATAAAATAAAAATCATTGCTAAATAACAGCATCGTGACAATAACATGAAAAAGAAGCAGTACTCTCACGCTAGTTGTTTGAATTCATGAACAACTCACTGTCAAAACCAGCAGGCGCCGGCTCGCAGCTCTCTCTGAAACAGAACGGGCAAAAATACAACTGGGGGAGCTGAGTCCTTATTACATGTAGAAATATGTTTGCGTTTACTCGTGTGTGTGTGTCTGTGTGTGTTTTACTCCCTCGCCCCAGAGCTTTAACCGCATCGTCATTTCTGTCATCCTCTTGCTCAAAGCACATTTTACCCACCCAAATGTGTGTGTGTGTGTGTGTGTGTGTGTGTGTGTGTGTGTGTGGTTGCATTACTCATGTTGTGAAGCCATGAATAAGTTTAAACAGTCACCAGATTAAAAAATCCACATAAGATAAATCATTACATTTTAATGTGAAGACTTGAAGGTTAGAGTGAGAGTAGAGGTGAAGGTCAATGTTGAAGGTTGAAGGTTTGTAAATCAATGTGACAGTGTTGAAGTACTTGTGTATGTTCTTGTGTACCTATGTAGGTTAATAACAGCGTCGGCTTGTATGTCTGCGTGTGTGTGTTTGAGCTTTTTATAGATCTTTAAAGATAAGCAGCAAGGTTGCGGGTGTGACGATAAACAAAACTTTGCACAGAAGCATAGAATTATGTTCAGCTTTGTGTTTCAATGTCAGCAGCTTCATCAGCATCAAACAAAGCAAAGGCCTCGAGAGACATTATTCAGTTATTTTAAATCTAAATTTTCCAGCTTAATTCACAGTTCAGAGTCTTATGATCATTTCAATAAGTAGATCTGTAAAACAGCCATTTATCACAGGTTTGACGTTACATATGTTCACAAAACCAGTAACATTCGGTACTGCCCTGAGGTTGCATCACTTCGAAAACCAGTATAGTTTCAGTTGCCATATTTGGTTCTTTCTTCTAGATTTATGTGACCTTTGACCCCTGACATCTACTCATTTCCTCTTTAAGACAACTGAGGAAGAGCTGTATGTAAGGCCTCTGTCAAAAAATATAGTAAGTAGTCACAGTACACACCAACCTATATACAGAGTGTTACACTCTGGTGTATAGATTTAAAAACATATATACAAACAAATGTGTCTTATAATAAATCTTAGTGCCTAAACATCACTGTAAAATCTCAGAGGGAAATAAAAACCTCAGTGGCTATAGTACTGATACAGTACAGCACAGCCAATTATCACCATTAAAACCAACTTCCTTCCCTTTATATTATCCTGTATGTGCATCTGTCTATTAGGTGCAAACAGAACGGGAGAGAAACGACAGTGGGGCTGTTTTTAAAGATACATGTAGAGTCAACATCCGGCTGTATGGTTCATATAAGGTGCATAAACCTTAGTCCCACATTCAGAGGGCATCATAGCAAATACATACATCAAATATATAAATACAAAATGTGTGTACGTGTTTATAATGTTCACAGAATACGGCTGGCTTCGCCTGTAACATTTTAAAGTGCCATTCTCTTAAGACACTTGACAAATACTCTAAAAACACTAAACATTTTAAATATCAATGTCATTTTCTGTAATTCTGCAAATAAAATAAGACAAGTCAAGTTTATTTTGTTGTGCTTATCTGCAGGAGTCACCATCTCTCACCTCAGTACCTGAGAGTCGCCAGCTGCAGAAAACGTTTTGCATAAGAATTGTTTGGAGGAAGTTGTGAATGAAATGATAAATGATTCTGATTAGACCACATCTTTAAATACTTCAAGTCTTTGTCCCCAGACTAACATCAAGTCAGGCAAAGTAATTAGCTTCATTTCCCTCACTTGTGTTATGTCTCGTTTTCAGTGGAAAAAAACTCCTGAATAGTTTTAATATTATAAAACTATGGAGAGCAGCTTGTCTTCAAACAACCTATATATACAATTGTGTTGCCAGGAAATCAGTCTTTGACCGAATCTTATCGATTGTCTATATCTTTTCCTGCAGTGGTCAAATATGGATTATCTTTACTACGAAAGGCAGCTAAGGAAGAGTTTGCATTCTAATTAGACAACGTCTGTGACAGCGGGTAGATTCGTCTCTATGTACGCAACAGCTGCATGGCCCAGTATAAAGAGCCTCAGCACAGAGTGGGTCCAAATCCACAGAAGTAAGTGTATATATATATATATATACTATGTAAGTACATATGTAGGACCTGCCTAATACTTGTATACAGTCAATACTTCAGTGTGTAGGTAAAATAAAGGTCAAAGTACTTGAGGAGTCAATAACCCAGTGTGTGTGAAGATGTAGAGAAAGTGCTCTCATCAAAAACTGAAGCCTCAGCTCTCAGTTCCATGTTTGTGTATGTGTACTAACCGCTGCACATATTTCCTACAGGCAGGAGTCCCAGTGTATCTGCAGGTCACAACTGTCCAGGAAGTCTGTGGAGAAGATACTAGGGGGAGTTTGGGGGCCGAGCTGGGCAAACGTGGGGCTTTCCTCCCCTGTCTCTACTCCCATTGGGAGGTCCAACCAATCCATACTGTCCAGGCCGTGCTCCTCCTCCTCTGGTGCCATGTCGAAGGTGTCCATGGGAGACGGGGGGTTGTCCAGGATGCTGGGGGTGCACAGCATTTGGCTGTGGAGGTCGTCAATCAGCGTCAGCAGGCCTCCAGGCTCCACCCCCAGGAGAGGCTTGCCCGTGGTGCTTTCCAGGAAGTCCTCCAGGCGTCCACTTCCAGTGTTACCGAAGAGCTGTTCCTCTCCTGTGGCGTCGACCAGAGTCTGAAGCTCGGAGAGCACCAAGGGGGAGCGCAGGGGGGAGTCACAGCTGGGGGCGACGGGGGGAGATAGCATCAGCTGGAATGGGGAGGGAGAGGGGGAGGAGGCAGGGGAGTTTGGATTGAGACGATCCAGAGATGAGTCTGGAGCTGTGTTGAAGGGGGTCGACATTTCTACAAAGAGAAAGAGGAAGTTAATATTTCAAACTGATGTGTTGGTAACTGGACCTGAGTGTGACGGATAAGTTTAAGAACAAACGATGTTACATCTCACCTCCTGTCTGCAAAATGATGTCGATAAAATCCTCTTCATGCTCTGTATGCTGAGGACACACACACACACACACACACACACACACACACACACACACACACACACACATTGTGTTACTTCATGACACGAGCACTTGATGTGAGATGTTCACAAGGCAAGAAATGTTTTTGGTGAGGTCACAGAGATTTTGACTTTTGGTGATTTTTGACCTAATCAGTTCATCGTTGAGTCCAACTGTGCATTAATCAAATTTAAATAAATTCCTTCAGGCCATCTGTGCCAAGGAGAATGTGACGGACGGATGGACAACACAAACACTTGACACCTGTGGGACGCTGACTGTCGAAGGGGCGGAGCCATAAATATAAACAAACTGGCAACGGTCAATAAAATCCTGATTTTGTACATTTGCTGGCTGGTGTGTCAAGGTCTGCATTAAACAGCTGATTTGTGCAATGACACATTTGGAGCATGCAGTGCGTCATACTTTGTTATCAGGCGAGGAGGCGGCCGTCTGAACAGAAGCTGGAGACAGAGGACTAAATAAAACCTCCGGACTGGAGCTGAGCTGGAAACAGAACAGGAGAAGAAAAAGGTTTCACTCTCCAAGGAAAAGATGATGGGAAAAGTCTTTGGGAAAGTTCCAGATCACCTTGAAGGATTCCCAGTGTCGTGTGCAGATTACTTACAGCGTGAGAGGAAGGTGATGAGATGTTTTCCCCTGAGGGAGCGACCTCCTGGTTCTGGAGGAGAGGCTGCAGACTGGGCGGTGCAGACAAACACTGAGCGGCCTCCTGCTGTGGTCGCTCCACTGACACATGAAGTCCCCTGTTCTCTACCTGTTTTCAGATGTTAAGAAAAAATAAGACATTTGTTGTAGCAATGTATTTATCGCTTTTAACTCAATTTTGGTTTATGTTAATCCTTAAATATTTCTATATATTAACCATATATAATTTCTGTTTATCCACGTGGGTATTCCAACCACTAGTCCATTACCTTTAATAACTTCAGCATCTATTACATAACCATTTCACTTGATAATTCATTTTTACACACTCTGAAATGTGGCGTTCACTCAGTGTTTGTTTTTACTTGGTTGAGGAGTTCCACAGTTTCTCCATGAACCTCAAAGCGACCCCCCTGAGATGCGTACCCTGGGTTGGGAATCACCGCCCCACAGCTCTCTCCTGCAGATATATTCTTATACTTGTATTAAACTTACGCCAACCACCAAGAGCGATATGTGCAGTCAACAAATCTTGACATGTTTTGAGGTCGGGCTTCACCCCGCAGACAAAGAGAGCCAGCACACCTGCGCTCCACCAGAAATACTCTACATCTCAATTAGCCGAGATGCGACGGAGTCTTTGTTCCTCCCCCGTTAACAACATGAATCATATTAATGGAGGATGTCGTTAGAGTAATTAGCAAAGCAATAATAATCAGCATCTGGCTTGAGTCAGACACTCTTATCAAGGACTGCTGTCATTGTGTGAAACAGCATAAGTCATTAATTTCCACAGACTCACTGGAGCAGTTCTTTCACTCATGTTTCTGTCTCTGTTTTAACGACACACTAACAGAGCAGGCTGATGTTGCACTTTATAAGAGGAAGGAGGCTCCAGGCTTCGGTTGAGGATGAGGAGTATCACAGGGATCCATGCAAAAAGATAACATAAGTCTATATCATCTTACAATCACATCATCCCACTACATTGGAGCCAATCCCAGCTGACATTAGTTGGGGTTCACCCTGGAGAGGTCGCCCACAGGACACATGCAATTACAAATGCCCCTTCACACACATTTACACCCACGGTCAATTTAGAATCTCAGAATCCGCAATCTGCATGACTTTGGACTGTGGGAGGAAGCTACCCAGAGAAAACCCCCACAGACACAGGAATAACATACACAGAAACACCCCTGCTGAACTGGGATCTGAAAGTGATGTCATGTACCTGGAGAGTGATGTGATTGGTCCCTTTTCCCTTGGGTGTGTCAGTTCTGTGGTTCTCAGTGACACAATTGCTCAGTGCGATCAGGAAGTGGTTGCCGTCCCCGTCTGTGAGCAGGGCTGGGGTGGAGTCTGACCAGGGCGGGAGAGAGAGGGCGGAGCCTGACTGCTCCTTCACGCACTCTTGAGACACCTGCACAAGAAACAATACCAGAACAAACAAAACCTTTAGAGGAAGAAGCACGTTCTATTTCTTTGGTGTCCAAAATATTATACACAGCTTCAACCCTGAACCCCGTCCTCACCTGTGGGGCCTGCTGCTGCACCTGATGTTTCTTTTGTATTAGCACCTGTTGTTGCTTCAGATGTATCTTGGTGTGTATCTGGATTTGCTGTGGCTGTTTAGTCGGCTGCCGAAACAGCGGCTTCAGTTGTTGTTTCATTAGAATCTGTTGATGGAGTTTCGACTGTTGCTTCTGCTGCCGTTTGTGAGATTTCTTATTTTTCTCCAGAGAAAGTTTCTGTTGGTTCTCCAGCGCCTGGTTACAGTTGTGGATGGTTTGCTGCTGCTGCTGCTGTAGCAGGAGTTTGTGCACGACGTGCTGCAGAGCGTTCTGCTGCAGACAGTCATGATGCTCTTGTTTTTTCTGTGGCTCCATGTGTAGCTGAATTTGCTCCTGGGCTTCCTGAGATTGTAAGTAAGACTGCGGTAATCCACGGGAGGCTAGTGACTGCACTTCTTCTCTCTCAGGGACTTCCTGTTTGATTGTAACTTCAGTGTCAGTGTCACATGAAACAGATGATGTTTGAGGGGGGAATGGAGGATGGACAGACTTGAGGGGGACACCAGGGTTATCAGGAGGTTCCTGTTTTACTCTTAAGAGAACCACAGGCTCAGAAACCTGTGCTCCTCTGTTCCCATGCTCCAGCTGCATCCTCAGCACCTCCACCAGCCTTTGCTTCTGCCTCAGCATCCTGGTCAACTCCTCTATCTGCTGGTCTTTCTCCTGCAACATCTTGTCTTTGTCAAGAGTCCGTACTGCAGCTGTGGGAACAGCTGATGGGACCGGGCAGTGTTTCTGCAGAGACGCTGGCTTTAAAGAGAACTGGCATGGAGCTGGGGCAGAACACGAGGGCTCTTCTTTAATACTCGTTGGAAGCCGAGGAGTTGAACATGGCTGAAGACTCGACTGGGAGAGAGGTGACCTCATCTAGACAGAAAATAAGAAATAAAGGCAGTTCATATGCATTTTAAATAAGTTACCTTCAACACCTAAGTCCAACTTAAGTAGTCCCACTTAAATTACACTCGACTACTCAAACACTAAATACATGTTGTGTGTGTGTGAGATGAAAAACAAATGTAAAGATGCCTCTGGGGTTTCACACAAAATTAATTCAACAGATCACATTGAACCAGTTCCTTACCATTTCCTCCAAAGCATCACTGTTGATGCTGGAATCCTCTGGACTGCTGGTGGCCGACAGTCGGTCAGAGAGGGTGATGGAGACGGGAGGTGGTGACACCGCACCACTGCAGGTCATAAGCTGCTGAGCAGCGGCTGCAGGTGAGGTGAAGTGGGGGGGGTTACACGCATCAGAAACACGATCATGAAAGGGTGATATTGTTTGCTATTTCATTTTTCATAACTTGTTTATCCACAGGCAGTTTACACTCAGCAGAGCAGCCCCGTCCCCCCCCTCCGACTAATACATCATTGATAATTCTGATGGTTTTTCATTAAAAACCACACAAACATGCAGTGACTGTAAGTGTGGCACGGTGGAAATCATCTGCAGTCACCTCGCTGATCTGTCAGAGAGGATGCCTGGCAGCACTGGAACTGTTGCTGCTGTGATGTGCTGTCGGAGACGGCTGCAGCAGGATGGGAGGATCTTCCTGCTCCTTCAGCCCCCGACCCTGTGTTACCCCCTGCTGTTGGAGAGGAGGTAGTGCCACTGCCTCCGTTCAGCTCCTGGTAGGCCTTCAGCCTCTCGATGAGGTCTGTTTTGGTGCCAGAGACGGGCAAGCTACGCAGCTTCAGCTGGAACTTCAGCTCCACGACCTGACGGAAGATGGAGTGAGAGAGAAATGGAGAATGAAGGACAAGAGCGATAAGTAGTGAAGAGATGAGGATAAAACATGAGAAGAAAATTGAAAAAGGATTAAAGAAAAAGGAGGAGAGGAGACAAAAATAAAGACAGAATAATCTGTCACTGTCTCTCTCTTTGTCAGCTCTGAGCTGAAGAGCCACTTTGCTATGACAACAAGAATATTTTACAAATTCAAGTTCTATCCACCTGTTATCGCCTCACAGCAGAGACCTGTTGATTCTACACATGTATTAGTTTAAGTGATGTCATGAGGAGAAATATGATCTAACCTTCATCTCATCCAGGTTTGGAGGTAGAGACGCCACTTGGGTCCCAGCTAAAGGAGCTGAACTTTGACCGCTGTGACGGCCCAGGACAAAGAGGGCGGCTGAGGGGGCAGCGAGAGGCGGCGGTGGGGAGGAGCTGGTCATGGAGTTGGAGGAGGAAGACGGCTGCTGATTTTTCTGAGGTCTTTTCGGGGGGCAAATACAGAGGCAGGAAGAAGATAGTGATTTTTACACTATTAATGGTAAATGCAAATAAAACCTTTGCACCACCAAGTTGATTTTAAACTGAAGAGTACAGCATGGCTCTTTTTCTTTACATTGAGATCCAACTCCACACTCACTTGGGTGGTGCGGGCAGGATGGCATGGTAGTTCAAGTGCTGCTGCTGCTGCTGCTGCTGCTGATTGAGAATCTGGAGCTGCAGGAAGAGCTGCTGCTGCTGCAGGATTTTGGCATAAGACGAGTCGAGTAGGGCAGGAGGCTCTTTATCTCCCTTCTGGTCAGGAGGGACGTACTGATGGTACTTTAACTTCTTTATCTGGAACGAAACACATCATGACCAACGTCACAAATCAATAAACTGGTTCATAACAACATTATTGTTCGTGTTTACTACCTCTTCTAGTCTAAACTATAAACTGGAAATAAAGATGAACGACTCATCTCCACTTCCTCCCACTGCCCAGAAATAAAGCCAAAATTTGAACGGTGCCATCTGCACAGTATAGCGATCGGGGGTGGACAAGAAGTACCGAGGTCTCATCCATTCACGTGCTCTATCGTTTCGTGAGTCCGTCTCAGCTGTCAGTCATGACATTTCACCATCAAATGTGAGCACTTGAACATACATGTGATTAGAATGACCTAAACTGACAGAAACAGGTACTTTGGCTTTTTAGTTTGGCCCATGTCCCATTTGCTGACGTGGAGGAGGCAGGGCATGCTGTCAGATCGTCCATCTTTATATAAAGTCTATGGTCTGAACACAGGAACAGAAATCTACCTTTGGCTGGTTGTCTTTGGGTTTCTTGTGTCTCTGGCTGGAGCGGTCAGAGTTTGGTTTAGTCTGGAACAAGAAAAGAAGTGATGTTGATAATTGTAAACGTATACTTTTGTTTGTAATATGACAAAGTACAGCAGTATTTATTACGTTTCTACCACTTAGGGCACTGCAGCAAGCTGTTTACACAAATAACACAATCCAACCTACACAAGTTTGTAAGCTGAATGCATTTGAAGTCGTGTGTGTGGCCACCTGATAAATGTGCACATACTGCTCTTCATTTATTTTTATATCTCTTGACTCTAAAGTTTTCTGTCTCTTCAGCTGCAGCTGAAAACGAGTTGACAATAAAACCATGACAATTGGCCCCATGGTGCCAACGGGAGCAGCAGCTGTTCATGTTCTGTAGTTGATGCAAATGTTTCATGCTCTGCTTCACAAGTCTCAGGTTGTGCAACCCCCGTCACATCACACTTCATCTGTTCTGTTAGTAACACAAACATTAGACTGCTCCATCTTTATATCTGAGCACTGTCTGGTGAGGTTTGGTTCGTCACTTACCCTGATCAGAGAGGCCACACCCATCCTGTGGGAGGATGGTGTTGTCTTCCCATTGGTCAGCTTCGTTGAGGGTCTGTGTCCAGAGAGCAGCGGTAGTCGAGGAGCTGAAGGAGGGTCCTGATGGACGAATACAGACTGAGCTCAACCGTCTACTTCTACTACAGCCTCACGAGACAAGTAAAGCACCCTTCTACAAAGACTGGCAGTCACAAAGCACGACGCTCTGCCAAGACCCAACCATCCCCTGGAACTCAATCAAGCCAAACTGCTCCAGTGTTGCATCCATGGCACACGACATGTCAAATTCATCACCATCTTCCCTCCAGAGGATTCATACCTGTGTAGGAGAGGGGATGCAGCTCTCAGTGTCTGGAGGAGAGGGCGGGGTTCCCACGGTCGTAGGTGACTCCTGTCCTACTGGAGACAAACTGTCCCTGCTGTCCACATCACATGATGGGTTATCACCCGAAGCCTTTGGAAACTGTGTCTCTGAGAGAGGGAGAAAGGGAAGAATTTTTCTAAATGAGGGGACAATTATATGTATATGTCCAACTGTCAGCTACAAATGAATTGGTATATGTATTGTTAATACTGATAGTGAGTGACTAATTTATTTCATTTTAAAGACAAGACAAGACAAGACAGGGACAGGTCAACACAACAGGTGTCGATCGAGAATCCAAACCTTCAGCACTGTGCCAGCAAAGAAGATCCTGAGCGCCTCCTCTATTAGAACCAGCGACACGTCCCTGCATGTGTGTGTTAATGCTTCTCTGACTGTGTGAAATACTACAACAAGCTTCTCACACCACAAGCTTATTCTCCAGTGTCTGCTCCAGAAATGTCACCCAGAGCGTTTATCCCTGAACAGAGTGTGACGGCAGCTGCAGAGAGACTTAAAAACTTCTTGTGTCTGCATTCACATCATGCCCATGGAAGTCAGTGTGCACAGGATGAGATGATATCTTCTCTTTCGTCCATGCTGCGGCCTGGATAAGCCCAGCTTTATCTCTGTGATCGCTTGCATTCATCTGCATTCACTCTCAGTGCCGCCACATAAATCCAGCACCTCATTCATCCAAGTTTTTACGTGACAGATGGCGTCTCTCAAACGAACAGCGAGGACGGGTTGTGTCATTTATGCTGCGAGTGCATTAACTCTTCATTAAGTCATTGTTCTTTGTGCTTATTCCAGCCGCGCCTCCTGTGCTTCTAATTATTCTCTTTTCTACAAAATGTTCCGAAATTAAAATTAAAATATACATCAATAAGTAAAGTATGCAAAAAAGAAATATGCATAGAAAAGAATCAAAGCATAGTTCTCCTGATAATTTTCCCAAAAGGGATATGATTTAATCAATTCATTACTATGCAGATTTATGAGTCTTTACAGGGATTAGGGAGTGAAGCTACCTGCTAGGATCCCCGGGACTGGAAGTAAGACTTTACTTTTGCTGTTGGATGTTGGAGCTGCTGTGGGCCACAGCAGACAGTTATGTAAAATACACCACTGGCCATTAATTTACCATCAGCAGGCGATGATGAAAAGACAACATGGGGCAGATTTAACACCCTCTGATCTAGTACTGTGATGACTTCCCTACTGATGTGCTGCGCCAGTGTGTGTCTGCATGTGTGTATCACTGCATGTTAACTCTGTGTAACACTCGTGTCCCAGGAGCTCCTGCTACGAGTTGTGATAATGTAATTGTGGTTATTATTGTGACACGCTGACAGTGACGGATAATCCACTGACACTGTAGTTTATTGAATCTCGGCAATCTTCCCTCTGAACATCGATCAAGCAGCTGGACTCAACGTCTCTGATCTCTCTGTCGGGCAATGAAAGTTTCCACACCTGAAAGTTTGGACCGAGATTCACTTCTTCGTTACGTTGTTTACATTTGATCAGGTTAGTTCTGGTTGCACATTACAACCATGTACATGTCCTACTTTGCACTGGTCCCTTGTGTAAATGATGTCATTATACCTGTCACAATATGACATCAGAGAGAAATCACTTTCTCTCATTTAGACCCTCAACTCGTCAATAGGTATGTAATTGTCCTAATGAAAGATAATGTGTTCTGGTTGCAGCCAGCATGGCTATTTAAAGCTGACAGCAGAGAAAGGAGACACGTCTTAACTGTGCGTCTGTCAAGCAGAGATGAGAGGGCATGCATGATTTACTTTATCCTACTTTCACCTTTCCAAACCCACAGCAGCGACTGGTTTGAAGCATGAACACTCACGCTGCAGTGTATGTTGGATGTAAATATGTGTGTGTGTGTTAACTGTGTGTGATGATGCAGCTGTGTGGGTGCATGTGTGTGTGTGGGGGGGGGGGYGGGGTGTGCAGCTGAGGCATCAGAGAGGAAACATCAGTGTGTTCATAAAAGCTGGAGGAGAGGACCAAGAGGGACTTCCTGTCAGGAGCCTCAAAGTGTGGGTGTGCTGTGATATATTGCACATTAGAATTACATTATTTATTTAGCTCCTCTACAGCATACAGTATATACAGAGAGCATTTTATTTAAAGGTGAATTCAGAATGTATTGGCCACTAGAGGGCAGAAAAAGCAACAAATAAGCTGTCTACTCTGAATTCAATGTGGTTAAAGCTGATACACGTTGACGGGAGGATTTTAATTTGCTTCCGTGTGCAGCCCCCTAAAAAACATGCAGATGAGTAACACAGAAAAGATGTGAGAAACAGCACTGACCTATGGCCTGTTTAATACTGGAGTGAACAGGAAGGATGTTTTTGTGAATCAGCTCCATGGGCCCGGGCCGATGGGAGATCTTATCGTTCAAATCATCAGCGAGACGAGCTTTCTTCAGCTGCAGCTGCTTGACCTGCAGTGACGGCTCTGCAGACGTCTCTGGAAGCAAATAACACGAATGGGGAAATGTTTAACAGCGTGCTGGTTTCATTAGATGTTATTAGTCAAACTGACCCAAAGCTGCAAAACCAACAAGCAGGGGGCGCTCTGTAGCTCTCACCCTCCAGGATGTGCATCCTGATCAGCTCTGATCGCTTCGGTCGACTCTTGATCTTCCTCTTGAGATAGTCCTCAGTCTGGAGAATGAGAGAAATAGACGTTTAAATACATTGTCTTTTTGCCATAATCTGTTTTCTCATTAACATTCATTACTTTTGCCTGGGGGTTAATCTGGTATTTATTTGTAAGAATGTGGATTAGGACAATTCAATTTAAATTAGACAATACAAAGTCCATAAGCTAGTTTCTTTAGAATAATTAATGACCTATTTTTCTCCCTCACATCCACCTGGCTCTCTGCCATCTGTTTGTCTGACTATCTGATCGTGATGGAGAAAACCCCTAGACAGAAAAAAAAGGACTGCTATGACAGCTCTGATGTTTTCAAGTTCTGACGTTCGCTCTGCCGGCTTCTTGTGTGACGAGCGAGCGCAGTATGTGCTGTAATGTGCAGCCTGGCCCCAGGAGGAGAGGACGGACGATCAGAGCAAACGATCAAAACAAGACTTGGTATTAAAATATAATCTGTGCTGGGAGAACGTAGGCCTACGTGCTGGGGTTTTCTCCTGGACAACTATTCAACACAATCACTTCTGCCTCTTTCTTTAAAAAGTTAATTATCGCAAAAGTATGTCAACGAAAAGGACACATGGATTAATGTGGGCAGTGATGGTGACGTCGTTTGAAATGTACATATCTTTCCCAACATGGTAAAGTTTTCTACTCCCTTCATATCCGAGGAGTACAAGGAATCCCTGGTGTAGTTAAAACTTTTATACGTGACCTTACAGTCTGATATATTCGTCTTCAGTGCACGTCTTAATTTCAGCTGTTATTTCTCTTTGCCATCCTCTCGCTGTAATGGTGTGTCATGACACACGGCCTGCACGGACAACTGTCGGCTGAAACTCTCTCAGTTTTGACCCCGTGATTGACTCGAGGGTGACATACTCACCCGTGCTCGTTCCAAGCTCCGTCTCTGTTCATGGAAGGCAGCTGAACTTTTCAGTGCTTAAGGAATAAAGATGGAGAGAGAGAGCATTAATGGCTGTGTACATTCACTCCACCGAGGGGAAATGGAGAGCAAAATGGCTTTGAATGGTTCTTTGCTTCTACAGTTCAGTTTCAGTTCAGCTTGAATAGGTTTACTGATGGTGAGGATTATTGCTCTTTTATCGACAAATCTTTTCCTTTCTCACATTTGAGTGTGTTTCCAGTGTCACATGCTCGTACGTCTTAGAATAAAATGCATAGCAGCCTGGGCAGTGGTCCAACACCAGACACTGTAAAAGGGTCAAAACTCACAAGGTCAAGGACGAAAAGTAATGAGAGTTACTCCCGTCCAATGAGCCAGAGACATTTATGGAATATATTCCTGTAGCCCTATGATAATGCAAAAGCCCAGGAATGAGTGGTTCTGGAAACGTAAAACCTAAAGGACACCAGCATTAAAGACAGCATATCAATACAGACATTATATAATATATTCTATATGTAAGAACACAGAGAGCCGAGTACACAAATGTCCGTGGAGCCTGCACTTCATTGAAGATTGTATCTGTCATGACACTGAGCTGAGCTGAAGAGTTTTCTGGATTTTGTTGAACACTTGTTGTTGTAGACGTTTTCCTCGTGTGTAGATTTGTGTCCTGTTTTATTTATTTTAGGATTTAAAGGGATTTTTAACAAACTCAGATGGAGTGAAGGTAGATGTGGCGAGTGAGGCTGGTTAGACTGGTTTTCTGAATCGTTGAATGAAGCGGCGAGGACGAGGCAGGTGGACCGCTGAGGTAAACTGAACAAACTGGTGACGACTGCAAGGTCGAGGTGTTCAGGTGGCACCAAAATGCAGAAGCAAGGTAAAGGATAGGTGTCCTTCAATTATGGCAAAGGTCCTTAAAGAAACAAGGTTCAAACATGGCTGCAGTGAAAACCTGACCGGTGAAGATATGTGTTGTAGTCTTAACACTTTGACTGAACTGCATTTAACTAAATTTACACATACACACACATGCAGAGGCTGCACATACACATCTGTGGTGTGACTAGGTTAGTAACCCCGGGGGCAAGACTGCTGGTACCTGCTCAAGCCTCAGTTCACGTCGCTGAGCACTGTCACACTGCTGGTACACACTCACCCCTACACACCCTGGGGGGACATCCACCCCCCCCCCAGACCTCTCACCCGTCCACAGCGGGGTCATGTGGCCTCCTTGTGGGTGCGAGAACCTGCCTATCACTCAGTTACACAGGAAATGATCAGTGGAATGGAGGGGGAGCGTGGATGGGTGGATGAGCACAGAGTAAGGTTTTTGAAAGCTGGGGCAAAAGTGAAAATGATTGAAATGGATAGGAAGAGGATGGAAAATCATAAAATGAATTTAGGGAAGACAGGGAGTGGAGATAAATGGAGAGAGGCAGCTGAAAGAAAAATGGAACAACGGGCCGAAGGGCAAATGAAGGGGAGGAAATAGAGATTGGTGGGATGAGGTCAGGGAGAAAAGACCCCATTATGTGCATGAGTGGCTCCATCATGGCTTCTTGCCATCCAGCTAAAGTTAACCAGCATGGCCGGCCTTTAAACTCTGGGAACAGCATCACTTCCTCCAGTGGTGCTCATCTTTTTAAGTTTAGTCCCCGACTGAAAAGTGCTTTTACTTGTGCTTAAAATGTTCTGCTCTGCCTAAAGTTTATTTTAGGGGCTTTAAGTAAAGGCAAAAAACCATAACCATTGTAACCATAAGTTTAAAGTGATACAATCAATATGTTTCTTAATGCGTTGTGTTTTTCTGAGAAGGCGTGGGTCACACTGTGTTCACAACCACAAACCACAGCCTCACGAAACCAAACATGCATGCATGACAGTCGACAATTTGCACTATGAATGATTATCATGAAGAACAAAGAAACTCCACAGCTCTATCAGTGTCATCTGAGAAGAAGAATCAGAGGCTCCAAACAAGCAGAAATTGTGCTGAGCAGATTAGAGAAGGGAAATAAAAGAGCAAATAAGTGTAAAAGAGCTGAAGAGATGAAGAGAGATTGAGGCAGAGTGAGAAAGAGAGAGAGAGAGAGAGAGAGAGATAGTGACGGTTTGTGAGACGCTTCAAAACTAGAGCGGCAGGAGTTTCCTCTGAGGTGTCATCTGAAGTTTTATTAAAGAAATGAAGAGGATGTGGTGTCATGAACCGAACTCTGACGACAAATGCACAAAGAAGTGCAAGAGGGACAAAAGTTTAAGAGAGAGCAAGAGGAATGGAGAGCGTTCAAAGTTGAGGGAGCGTTACTTTTACAAAAGTCATCAGAGGATGGGAAGAATGGGAGGAAAGTTAATGAGTAAAGAGACAGGGAGGTAAATATAGAGACTAATATAGAATAAATAGAGAGAGAGGTGGACTGTCAATGAAAGGAGGACAGAGGAGCAGGAACACATGGAGGACAGTAAATATACTGAAGCCAACAGCACAAGTAAAAAAGAGACTGAGAGAAAATGACAAATATTAGCTGGAGTCATTAGAGGTAAATCACACAGGGCTCAGCAGTTGAGGTAGTTTTTACTCAATGAAACAACTTTCAGTCTCCTCTCAGTGTCCCTCTCTCTCTCTCTTACATAAGAGACTCAATGGTAGAGTACAGCCTCATTGTTGACAAGGTAGATTTTATTTCGCATCTTTTCATACTAATGCAGCTCTGTGGCCAGATGAGGTCTGAACCGTGCCCATTATTCAAGCTGCCTGTGTACAAAGATAAGAGCCTGTTATTGTATTGCAATGGTTATATATATATATTTATATAAATAAATATATTTATACATACACAGGAAAGGGGAAGTATGAATTTGTGATGCAGAGCACAAATACCCTGGTGAAGGCAGATTATTAAAGCACTCAGGACAAGAACAGATCTTATACCTGGAGATAAGATGCCCAGCACAGAACATTAACTGTGTGTGGACATAGGAACGGTTGAAACTGAAAACCCTGTGAGAGTCGTGTGCTGTGTGATTCACTATAAATGAATAGAAATAAACTGTTGGTGCTGTGATGAGCTCCAGACAACAAGGGATTACTGACATCGATTTTGTGGTTGTCGTTTAAATTCAGATCTTAAGATTTTGTACTCATGAGTGGAAAAGCATGTTACACTGACTTAATTCATGTTGGGTCACAGGGATGTAAACACAACTAAAACAGTTTAACTTTGACAATAGTACAATAGAAAATCTTTGAATCAGATAAAATGCACCTAACGGATGTTTACGCTGGCAGTTGGAAATCTGACCTCGCTTCACTTTACTTTGCAGACTGAAACTGTCTGTTTGTCTTGAGAGGATAGCACCGACTGAACCACAAATCACTTTTGTAACGGCTGTGCGGCAAACGATGAGGCTAAAACTAGAGCGGCACGACAGATTCTCAGGCGAGAACCAAAAACCTCAGTTTAGGTTACAGGTACATCTTTACACAGCAGCCCTGCAAACACATCCTCTCCTCATGAAGGCAACGTGTTCCGTTCATTGTTATTTCGGAGAATATTGAATTTCATCATTATGCTGAGAGATGTTTATAATATTTTGTCGTTATGAGGCTAAAACTGCAGATTTGTTCATCTCGAAGAGCTAAATCACAAATCCTCATTTGCAATACACACCGTTATGTTTGAATGTTTATATCTGTAGTGTGCTATGTACTTAGTTTTATATGTTCTTTACAGTTGGTTACTCGTTTTACATATTGGATATTCTTCTGTTCCTTATTCTTGAATAAAACTATTCAGACATACTCAGTGTTTGAATCCTGACTCATTTCTTTGTAAACTTTAATATCCTTTGGAATTGACCTGATAGTTGGTTGCATTTAAAATGTTAATACATCAATGTCCGCTGCACAGTGTTGATGGTGTTTTTATAATTTGGTGACAAGTTCATGTGCTAAATCATGTAAATGTGACCCCCCCTCATTTTGGAATAAATATTGGTTTTAACAGTTTTAACCATTAAGTGCATGTCCTATGTCCGTCATGTTTAGGGACAAGCTTTTGTCATCGTGCAGATCTGAACTGATGAATAGTTCGGGTACAGGATCAATATTGATTTTAAACGTTTACATATATTTTACATGATAACATTTTTCTTAATAATACTTGGCTGTGGACTTACGTGGCATGATTCCCTGGTTGATCAAATCTTCTCTCGTTCTTCTCTGTTGCAGCTTTAGTTGGAGAACTGAAGACAGAAACAAGAAAGAAAGAAAGTCAGTCACTGCAGAATGAATGGAGAGCAGCATTACATCATCAAATCAAATCCACAATACATCTTCCCTCCATCAGGTCCCAGCCACAGGAAGCTACAAAAATGTCAACAATGCTCGTAACTTAGATGCAAGTTTTAGAAAAGGAAAACGTCTGTGAATGAAATATCGAGGCAATAAAAGTAAGTAATAATGGTGCAGTGTTACACTGAAGATGCTCTGCTTTGCTGCTGGTGATCAAATGTCTGGTCCCCTGTGAGAACACTTGAAAAGTTCTCTCACACACCTCACGAGGGAAGTGAAACACGCAGAGACAGACGCAGTTTCCTGTGTCAAGTATCTGATAAAGTCACACTGCAAATACAACTGAATTCAGCAAAGCTCATCACCGCAGAGACGTCGGAAAGTTTGAGATACCAGAAAGACATTTACATGCATATTTGAAGATGACTTTAATTATCCTGCTTTACATTAATTTTCATAATTCATACCTGGAAGCTCTTCACAACATATTTAACTTCTTTAGGTACCTGACATTTACATTTTGGAGTCTGTCCAGAAAAGCCAGGGGCCGCTGCACTGCAGAGCTGTGGCAGAGGTGGCGTTAAGTGTGAACTACCGTAAGAGCTGCATGCTCACAACAACATTCGACAAGACAGTTCCTACTAACACAGTTCAAACTTCATTTATCGAAGTCTTGATGAACAGAAGTTCAAACTTCCTTCCCTCATTGCCGGGTCATTGTGTTTGATCAGAGCTGATGTGGAAAGGACAAATCCATTAAGTCAGAATTTACTGCTGGACCCTGTGGCCAGAAGTCATCCACCCAAATGACATTCAAACCGTAGCTCATCTTTCCTCAGCGCAGCGTTCCTGCGACATGGGCCGAGACCCCAGATGTTGTCATTTGATCAGCAGTCAGGTTCAGTTCATAAAGCCAACAAAGTCATATTTCACATGATTATTTTCAGGACTTGAACCCGAAAAATCTGCATAATTGACGATTGATATGATTGAGTTTGAAAAACAGCTTGATACACAAACACCTTCCGGGACAATGTGTAAAATGTTTTAGTTTGTAAATAAATGCAGATAATGTCCCACTATAGCATAAATCAATAAGTAATTATTAGATCTAAAGCTACATTTTAATTAGACAAAAACACTGGTATTTATTTGCATGTTTCTGAAGACTTTTTGCTCTGTTTTGGTTTCACCTGGGAGAATTAGTGACTCTTTACCTGCTAAATGCTTCACTATGTTCTCCAGCCAGTCATTAATGTAGTCTGTCTCCAAAAACATTTGAATCTCAGGGCTGAAAACATAAACAATGAGCTGAAAGATGCAAAAAGATGCAAAGATGTGCGATCTTTTCCAGGTGCAACTCCTTTCACATTATGTCTGAAGGTTTGGTGGATAAAATGTGATTTAACGTCATATTGTTTAATAGTTTAGCTACTCACAGCGACTGGAGGTTTACTTTTTCTTCTACACGTGAAGAAATAAGGTGACTCGGTGACTCAGAGGGTTCAGATCACGTTAAATGGAATAAATAAAGGTGTCAGACAGAATAGGAATCTGTATCCCCCAGCTTTAGCTTCAATCTTGACTCAAACGTCTTCATCCTTGTTGTCAAAACATCTTTTAAGCTGCTGCCTCTCTCTCAACTGAAAACACTGCATGTGCCCTATAGTGTTTGAGCATTGCCCACGTTTCCAGGCCACTGCATTGGAAACGTTGAGAGCAGGCTCTGGTGCAGAATCTGCAGACAGCCCCTCTCTGTGTCCTGAGATAAAAACATTCACATTCCTTTGATATCGGCGACGAGGATGCGGCTGACGCAGGATGGTGCAGTTTCACGCCTTGGCAGCAGGAGCGATTTAACCGGCTCCTGCAGGCGGATAAACAAAACAAACCCTAACACAGATACCGATTACAAAGCATGCATAACCTAATATTTGGAAACAGAGGAATATACACGGGAGCGCACGGTGAATAAGCATTTTAATACCTACACTCGTGGCAGCTTGGTGTGATAATAAGCACATAATCATGAAACAGGCACTGGCACACAAACAAACACTTGTTTTTGGGGCGATGATGTGTGCCAAGAGATGACAGGCCAGTGATGCAATGTGCTGATACAGAATCTATTCTGGGAGCGTGTGCTCATTGCTACAGCATGTGTAGCAGCAGTGCAAAGTAAATGACGAGCGACTGTAACGATCCTACAAGATGCAAACATGCCGCATTTGAAATAAATCTTGGATTACTGGTAAACTCAAGACATATCAAACAATGTTATATCTTGTAGTCGTCCTCTCTCTCCACCAGTCTCTGCTCGGAACTGAATCTCTCTGGGCAGGCGGATGAATTAAAAAGGATCATGACTGTAAATTGCTGACATGCAAAGACAGGACAGTTGAAAAGAGTCGTGCTCAAGTGGTGCAGAAATGAAAGAGACTTGTATATGGATGGCACGTCGATAGATCTAACTAGTCCCAGCTCATCAAGAGTTACTGTGTGAATTTAATTTCCCTCTGAAGGCGGAGGATACACACTTGATTTGTCTGTGACGACTGAACTAACTAACACGGACAAGGACCATGACACTCTGGGTCGTCAGGTCCCGACAGTCAGCAGATCAATTAAATAAGGGAGATTTGTTTGGTGCGGACCTTCAGACTTTTCTGTTGAGTCTATAGAAAATAAAAGGAGTGAAAGGTGCCTCTGACCACAGACCAGAGCTTAAGAGCTGGTCTGGGTCCAGATCAGACTGAACCATGGTTTGGTTTGTTTGCAGCGCGAAAACTCCTTTTGAGGATAATTGGCCGATCAACTTCTTGGTCTCTCCAGAAATGAGTTGCCCAGACTCACAGGATCGTTGCCTGTGTTGCTTGAGGACGTTCATTGGGTGCATTCAAACTAGTGCTCGCTCTCTAATTTAAAATGTGAAACCAAGAAAGTGGAACAAAGCATTTTCACACCTGAAGGTTCAGAGCTTCAGGTGTGAAAATGTCTCTCAATGTCTAAGTTACACCTTCAGATGCAGCTGCTGCCAGTCATTCTCATGAAAACATGTTTGCCGACCGCTGATGTCTCTTGTGCACTGACGTCAGCTTCTTTTACAAAGTTCATTCATCTTCTTCTCCCTCTGTACACTGTTGTTGACAGTTACACTTCCCTCTCCGTCCTGCAGCTCATCAGAACTCCAACCTTTTTTAAACTACTCTTTTGACCTTTGCAGCTCAAAAGTCTCCACATATAAGCCGTGCACGCCGCAGGTTGTCGTCCATGTTTGTTTTGTCACAGGATTCGTTTACTGGCAGAACTTCAGTCATTGCAGAACCATAGATGAGTCTCTCCTGCCTTCAGAAGCCGGGGGACGTCTTTGTGCATAATCTTTATTTGGTTTGACAGTTTAAGCTCAGGTTTGTAACAATCCTGTGATAAGATGTCTCTATGAAATCATAAAAAAAAATAAAGGCTGAATTAAAAGACAGAAAATGACGCTGTATGTAGAAATCTAAATTTAAACATACATATACTGTCACCTACACATACCTGAGGCCATGGAAGCCTTTCCTCTACGATTCAAAGTTTTTAAAACATTATAATAAAGAATGACTTTTAAGGGGTTGGCTCAAACTGTGTCATTACACTTTATGACTCCTTGTGAAGTGTCTTTGAGTTCGCAGAGTTTGACATCTCCTAAATCTGTCCAGCTACTTTGGTGCAAGGTCCTTGGCGCTACAGTCAACAGGTTGGTGGGTTCATGTGTGTGTGCCCAGGCTGGCCGAGCCCCAGCTGTAATCCAGCCATTTACAGAGAATACGATCCACTTAACACCTCCGCCCAGAAAATTAACCTTTACACTAGAACGCAGTCACTGAAGTGTGCAATATATGAGTTTTTTTAAATGGACAGAAACATGTGAATATCACTTGCACGTACATTTTGTTAAATTTTGCTTTAAACTACCACATAGTGATTCTGTAAATGTTCATGTGTGCAGGTATCCCACCTTGTCTGAGGCTCTGACAGGCCTGTCGCTCTAACTCAAACCGAATGGCTCTCTCATCCATGTTGCTGCTGATTGGCTGAGGCCTGAACGGGGCAGGCTCGATGCAGACGCAGGGCAGCTGCTCCAGCATGGCGAGCACGATCAAGCAATTATTCTGAATGAGACGTTGATGAAATAGCAACGAGACGCCGGTGGTCGACCGCAGCTGTCACCAGTCGGTACATCCACAGAGCAGAGCGAGGAACTCCTCTTTGAAAGCAGGAGAGTCGTTGGATTCAGTTATATTGAAAGAAATGAAGAAATATTCTTCAAGGGTTCTGCAGTTTGTAAAAATCAAAGACCCTTAAAGGAGAGTTCTCTCTTTCATCAGCACAGACACGTCCACCCCAACTTTTAGAAAAACTCCTTCATTAGAGTAAAACAAGTGTCCTCTGTAAAAGTATCACATAGTAAAACAAGGAACGCTGTGTGACCTCAGAGCTGCCAGAGCTTCTGCTCAGCTTCAACTGCGGCAACAGGACTGACCGACACGCGTGTGTGTGTGTGTTCATGTGTGTGTCAAGTGTCCGTAAATCCGTGATCAAGCAAGTCCGTCACAGCTGTTGCTGCATTCAGTCGTTCAGCTGTTGACAGACACAAACAGGCGCACACGAGTCACACACACACACACACACACACACACACACANACACACACACACACACACACACACACACACACACACACACACACACACACACACCTCTTGCTTTAAACCACTGATCTGAGCTCAGTGTGGTGCGGTTGATATGCACCTGTGTGAGCAGCTCTCCTCCATCCTGCCCTCAGGCCCTAAAATCCACACACACACACACACAAACAGAAAAAAACACCTGCTGACTCTCTGCACCAGATATCGAGTCTGTCAGCTGTCACCGTGTGGCTTTTTCCCACCTGTCTAACTATTTACCGAGTTTTACCCTGTCAATTACAGCTCAGGATTATAATTTGTTTACCGTGACATCGAGGAACGACCCGGGAAGGCATCTGAAATGAACGCAGCTTGATTCAGCAACATGAAATTACAGAGTTTTATGGCTGTACAGAGATAGATGCTGACATTTGATAGGCAGCAGCTACTCGTGCACGAACAGCTCAGCATTAGAATGAACTGAGGGCAGCTCAGTCCGAGCCATGTGCTGAAAGCTTCTTCTTCTTCGTGGATTTGTACCAGTTCATGTAGAATCGACGCTCACATTCACGAGTCAGATCGTAGACTGTACATAAAGATGGCCGACGCGTCTCAACTTCCTCCCACGACAGAAATGAAGCCAGATTATTCCCCGATGCGAACGCTGCCATCTTGCACATTTGTAGCCAGAGTCTGAGCAGTCAGTCTCAGCTGTCAGCAGAAATATTTCACCCTGTTTTTTTATAGCATCAAATAACTAATTGATGATACTTGAACTAACATCAGAGTGATAATAACCTAAATCGACCCAAACCATTTTAATTTGACGTCTTCTTTTCAGGATAGTGAAAATCTTTATGTGCAGTGAACGGGCTGGCACAAACAGATGATTGATTCTAAACAGTATTTATTTACAGCTTTTAATGTTTTTTGTGTTTTTGTATGTTATTGTTTGTCTGGTCACAATCGGACTTCATCTTTCAGGAATTGTTTTAAAGCCAGATTGGAATTCAACACTTATCCTCAATTTGAATGATATTTCTCTTGTTTTGAAAAACTTAATCACATCGTTAATGGACAAATTAAATTCATAAATCAACCAAACTTCTTTTCTGAAGTTGTCAGTCAAGCAAACACCTATCTAAGAAAACCTGTGCATCTTGTAAACATTAATAAACTGGCCATGGTGGATTCTAATTGAAAGTAAAATGAATAACAGCAGCTGCGTGTCTCTGTGAGTCAGTGACCTCGTCTTTAAACAGCCTTTATCTCTCTTTCAGCTCGACCGTCCCCCCCCCGGCTGCCTGCGTGTCAGTGTAGGACACCTGCACTCGTCCAGACACACTTTCATTCATCTCCATTATTGCGGCCGCGTCCTGGCTGACATCAGATAATATGACATGACGTTAAAAGGTGAGCGGGGGCCCTTTCAAGGTGAACAAATCCAAGCGCCCTCATCTCAGCTGTCAGTTAGTGTCACAATGAACCGACGGCGCTTGTCGGGTTCAAATTACGTTGATGACGGCGGTGCTCTGACAACAACGGTGATCAGAGACTGACTGGAATAGGACTGTGTGTTGGTGATGAATGTGCAGGATGACGTGTCTGCGTTCTCGGCCCCGAGTGTGTTAATATGCAAGATGTGGTGTCCCCGGGCAAATCACGCCTGAGAGAGGGGGAAGACGAATCAGGACTCTGATCCACCATTACTGCAGATAACCAAAGAGCTGGCAGAGAAAATCCTGCTCTGCTGCTTGTGCTTGTGCTTGTGTGCGATTGTTTCTTCTCAGAATGTGTGTGTCTATATGTGCAGAGTTTGTGCAGCTAGCACGGCGTCTGAATCATTCAGCTCCTAAAAACAGAAGCGGTTTCTGCCGAGACGCCGATGGACCCTCGTGTTTAACCTCGGTTTTTTTTTTTTTTTTTTTTAAGTGCGGCTCTGGTTCCATCAATACTCACTGTCCTCTGTTGTGGCCGTAGCTCACGGATCTATTAAAAGGATTCGCTGTTATGTCACATGATGAGAGCGGAGGTCGAGAAAGGTCACGGCCAAATGCAGCTGCTTTAAACTCAGCGTGTGTTCATTAAAAAAACCTGACTCAACAACCCTCTGCTCAGTACTGAGAGGAAATTACAGTTTGGCTCTGAGGCTGCAGAGGATTAGTTTTCCTTAGTTCAAGACATTATGCTGCTGGCTGCTGGATACAGATGATCTCTAACACTCAGGACGTGGGTCTGATATCATGTGTGGGTGTTTCAGAGAAGCTGTTTTGACAATTCGTTGGGACGTTTTGCAGATGGGACATGAAAAGGTTGAAAAACTGTCGCCTTTATATTTTTACAGCGAAGAAAGATTAAAATTAGCCGGAGAAAATTTAGATTCATAATTACTGAATTATCATTTTTATATTCCCCACTGTTCCATATGTGCCTCGTCTCTAGCTCCATCACTCCTCTTAAAACAAGAGAAAGCTGCAAACAAGCCTCAAAATCATCTCACGTTCTTACTCCTACGCCCCCTGGTGGAGTTGTCACGCCCTTACTGTTATTTCTGCATTTCAGAAGAAGAAACGTTCTCTCTAAAATATTATTTTACAAACATAACACCAACTTAATATGAACTTGGACCAAAGCTTTCATTTTGTAAAGCGCGTTTATTTTCTTAATCATCTGTTGATTGAGAAAATCTACAGCCAACACTTGTTCTTTACCTCCCTCACCCCGACCAACCTCTCCTCGGATATTATATCTCTCTTTCCTCTTAACTTCTCACTCTTCCTGGTTTAAATAGCAGGACCAGCTGGCTGCACCGCTATATCCAGAACCTCTTTATCTGCGCACACTGGGTCTAGGGTTGCAAACACACATGAACACACACATGGACACACACAGTGCTATGTATAGAAGGGTTATTCAAGGCTGATGGGATTTGATATTGGATAAAACTATCAGATGCTCTTGTTTCTTGAACTGTTCAACCAGATATCGTGGATTCACATTTGTTTCTGTGTTATTGAAAGAGAAATGCTGGTTGCAGTACTTCTGATGGTCAGAGGGTGAAGAATAAAATAAATCACAAAGGCTGAATTAGTGGAACTTTGTCTGTTTAATTTACAGCAAAGCATCGTACTTTATAAACTCTTCTGAACTTTTGATCCACACAAAACTTCACTGAAACATGAACAATGTGTGAAACGTGTCTGAGTGGATTCGGTCCCTGGAGAAGACGCTGTTTACAATGAGGTCATGTGAGGGGAGACCTAGTATGTCTGAAATGTAAACTCTCTCCACATACACTCCCTCTGCTTGAAACATCTTCTCACAGTGCTCTTGAAACACAGAGACGCTCACCGTGAGGTTTAACAGAGGAACTCTCATCGCAGCAGCTTTGTCCACAACAGGAAAACATTTTTTTTAAAGGCTCAGTGTGTAGAATTTAGTGACATCTAGTGGTGAAGTTGCATGCATGGTGGCCTCCGTAGATTCAAATGTAGAGGTTTAATTCCAGGGTGAAGAAAACAATGATTCTTCCAATTCAGATGAAACACACGAGTGAAAACATCACCGGGATAATTCATAATGAATTTCTGCCACTAAATGTTTCACACTGAACCTTTTAAGCAACAGCATTTTTATTTTTGGTTCTTGGTTCGACTCACCCCCCCTCCTGTCGGTGAGTGGCAGCAGGCTGGGGGCGGGCTGCAGGGACAACTCTTGCAGCTCACTGGCTACAGCTTCACTCTGAGGACTGGAGGCATCTGGTCTCTCGCCAAACTTGGTCTCCATGGTTACCCGAGTATCAGAGACAGACCTACAAAGAGGACAGAAAACACGACTCTCAATAATGTGCTGATGTTACCCAGTGGCATTTATTGTATTACCCCATTGACTTCTACCTCTCTCTCCCTCCCCCGCTCCCTCTCGCTGCTCCATCACATGCATTTTAAACATTTCCCTCCAACTCACTCCCTCAGTCTGAATGACTCACTACAGTTATGTGAGTCCTGAGTTTACAGTGAAGTCATAGCACAAAAAACAAAAACCCACACCAGCACAACAAGGAAACCCCTGGATGACCGAACACAAACACGTAATACACAAACAGTTAATCGCTTGAATTAACAAGTTATTGAAGCCGTTATTCGTTTGACGTGACAGTTCTCTAAAAGTGAAGCCAAAGCATCTCGATCGCCACCTGGTGACTGGCTGCAGTATAGGTGCCTCCTCCATGTTAGCAGATAGACATGAACTAAAAAGTAAATCCTCCCAAATGAATCCTAACATTTTTTCTGAATCGCGTCTTCCTTGTGGTGCGGTTGTTTAACCATTTCTCTCACCTGAGGATAAGTTTGGATCTGAAACAGGATAGCGTGTCTCAGCCCAGTGTTTCCCCCGGGGGAACACTTTGTTTGCCAACAACACGGTGCAGCTAATGATCCAAATTAGAAACAGTCGCAGGCTTTAAGCGACAGTATCATTAAAAAGCCGCTGCAGTTATTTTGGGCAGCAGGTCTGTGACTCATTTCAGGTCCTCGCTGGTGGCGGTAATATAAACGTGGCCACAGCACAGCCACGAGTCTGATTACAGAAGATGAACGCAGCAACTCAGACAGGGGCTCCTCCTCACAGGGAACTGTGCTTCAAACTATATTTATATGACATTATGCTGCAGGACAGGAGGGGGAGCGTTGGTTTAATGAAGCTCCAGAATATCCCAGAGTGTTTGTGTTGTAAACAACATA